CCTTTGTCCTTGGAAAGACCCACAGAGCACTCCTAGGCACATTCCCACCTGCTAAGTTGTTTATCTACAAATGAGATCTGCTGCGCCAGGTGTCCCTGACTCAGTCAGGCTAGGTGACCCCCTAGCAGCCACCAATCAGCATGAGACAGGGAAATACCTGGGATGCCAGATGACCCTCCCAGTAGTTTATGGTGGTTGATAACGTGTTGGGAAACCATGTAGTTCAGCACGTATACCTCTTTTGGCTTAAACCAATCAGTTCAGACGAATCCCCCTCTTGTAGTAACCAATCACCCCTCCCCAACTTGTTCCTGCCAGGGAATGTGCTAATCATGTTTTAGAGTTGTTATTTGATTTTCCCGCGGTGTGTGATGATTTGCTAAGAGATGCTATGATGTATGTGGGGGTCCCTGCCTTCTCCAAAGAGTGTATAAAACTGCTGCAAACCCTGGGCTCGGGGCCTCTCAGCGTCACCAGTTGCTGTGTGTGCGCACGTGCGGAGGACCGAGCTAGCTCGCAATAAACACCTCTTTGCTGCTTACATCGATCTTGGTCTCTGGTGGTCTTTTGGGGGTCCCGAATTCGACCATAACAGGGCCCAGAGGAGGAGGGGGGGTCATGGAGAAGACAAGACCGAGGGCCTCCCAGAGGCTGATGGCAGACGTCAAGCCAGGCTTTCAGGAGGCCTGAGAACACTCAGATGGGGGAGTGTCCAGAGCTCACACCTGGACAGAGAGAAAGATCTCAGGGGCAGCCTGGGAGAATTGGAGAATGCGCTTAGGCAGCAGAAACACTGGGCCAGAGGGAGCGGGCGGGTGGGACAAGCCCTGACCGGGAGCACGGGCCAGAAGATGCCTGCCAAGCTGACACGCCCTCCCCACGCTCGGCCCTTCCCTCTGGTGGGGGCAACTCGTGGTCCAGGCCGGGAGGCGGCTGCCAGGTGGAGGTGGGGATGCAGAGCTGAAGGTCCCCACCATGCCCGCCTGCGTGTGACTGTTTCTCAAACCCACAGTGCCTCTGAAGCCAGGGCACTGGTCACCTGGAGCAGCTCGGGCACAGGTGCCATCAGGCAGAGGCCAGGTCCTCCGACCTCTGAAATCCGGGGAAACGGAAGCCTCGGGCATGCAGGGGCAGCTGCCGGCCTCTTGGGCTCTTCCAGTTTTCATGTGTGAGGCCCCACACATGGTGGCCGGCACAGAGAGCCTCTCCTGGTGGGGTGTGGGGTCTGTGGTTCCAGCGTGACCGCAGAGAACAGCTGCTCTTTCACTTCTGCCTTCCAGAGCTTGTGAGTTTCTTTACCTCCAACAGAAAGCAGAAGCCATCTGGGGAGGAGCTTGGGGACAGGAGATTTCAGATTAGCTAAGTCATCACAGAAGTCACCATGGAGGGAAAAATCACAGGGAGGAAGACCCGGGTGTGACCCCCTTGAGCCATCACAGTGACATAAAAGGTGACTTTTCTATCACTTCGCCAGTCGACGCTGCTCCGCTTGGAAGATCAGGCAAACCTTTCAGCTTGGTGAGAAGGCACTTCTACACGGGTGATGCCGCTGGGGTTCAGCCTGGCTGGTGGGGACCCAGAGCCCAACACAACAGCCCCCCAAACTTTCACTTTACACAGAAAAGCAGTCTGGGCAAAAGTCACCAGGGTGAAGGTCAAGCGTGAGGACTGGGAACAGGTTTGCAAAGGGCAGCCTCCTGGGGAGAAGGTGAAGGTCAGGCCCTGGGTGTGCTGCAGGGTCCTGCAGGTGGGCAGGAGGCACTGAGACAGCATCGAGTGACAAGTGGCACGCTGAGGTGCTGGGCATTAGGAGGGCCTGGCACAGATGGGCAGAGCGCAAGGGTGGCCGGAGGACCGTCTTCCCAGGATGTGCATCTTGACCTGGAAAAACAACCTCGAGGAAAGCCAGCGGCTCCCTCTGGCCTGCCCGGCCCACAGTGAGCCCTGAGCAAGCCGGGGGCAAATGGCCCAGCGTGGGCGAGGGAATTCACCAGGCCTGTTCTGCGGTGAAGACTCTCAGAGTGCCAGCTGTCCTCAGAGCCCATGGCCGTCCCCAGCCAGCCCCTGATGCACTCACCTCACGCTGGCTCGGGCTTGGTGCCTTGGCAGAAGACCTCCTGCCTGTGCATGATTTGCCACCACCCAGGGGCCCAGAGTCTGGAGGCTGGGCCGGAGCAGGCCCACACCTCAGGCCATGAACTTGACAGCGAGACCTCTGCTCCTGTGTCCGCACTTCCCTGTGGCACCACAGGCATCACCGCTGCAGGCAGGACAGGAGGCTCGCTCTCGAAGGTGGCCCCACCAAAGCAGGTCCCAGGCCTGCGCCAAGTGTGGGACCCTGGCTGCTGGCTGACAGGCCACCCTGTCCCCTTCTCTTCCTGTTTTGCTTCCACCCACCCCAACCTTCGCCCTTTCCCATCCCAAATGAAGAGAAACCAGGAAAACAAGGCTGCTGGAGCCAAGCAGAAGACAGGACGCAGTACGGACGGCACTGCATCCCCAGGTGGAGACACGTCACCCCTGTGGCCTCAGCAGAACCACTGACCAAGCGCCTTCCTTCTGCTGGAACCAGCCGTCTCCCACCCACCGATTAACCCACATGCCACGAATCCCAGGGGCAGTGTCAAGAGGGCCTGAGGTGCCCTGGGGGCTCTCCGGGACCCACCCACCCAGACCTGGCCCCTAGGTGGGCAGAGCTGCTGTCCTCATGTGAAGGAGCACCCAGAGACCCTGATGGGCTGCGTGACCACCAAGTACTGCTTTATTGTAGGTCCCCATGCACACAACGACCGTTGCTCCTGTTTATAAAATATATGCACTCCAAGGACACGAATCATGGTTAAGACACCTGGAGGTGCGATCTTTAGCTCAAACACACAATGGCGCTTCTGAACTTGAGCTCACTATGAACAGCCATCACCTCGCGCAAGGCTCCCGGCCTGCATCGTCTCACGAGGTGTCAGCAGATGACCCGAGGCAGGTGGAGACCCTCACCACCCGACACTGGCCGTCATTCCTGAAAGATGTCAGGCATGTCGCTCAAAGTAACAGGCGTGAGTTTATTAGAAGGAAAGGAAAAGGGAAAGGGGCTCCATCAAGGGAGAGAGTGGGTCCTCTCAGGAAGGAGAGGGTAGCATGCCCCTCCTGCACTCCATTTTTTTAAAAATGTTTTTTTAGTTGTCAGTGGACCTTTATTTTATTTATTGATACGTGGTGCTGAGAATTGAACCCAGTGCCTCACACATGCCAGGCAAGTGCTCTGCCTCTGAGCCCCAGCCCCATCCCTGAACTCCGTGATTATTGGGGGTCCCAGGGAAGTTTCCAGGGAGTCCTGCCCAGGTCCACCTCTGGACTTTTGATTGACAGCAAAGGATGAGATCAGACTTTAGAGTCCCCATGGCCATGACAACTCTAAGTCACTGTGGCCCATGCTGACCAGTTCTAATTCTTACAGATTTTATGGTTAGGAGGAATTATCCTTATCTCCTTGGGTTCTGAGATCTGGTCTGTAATAAAAGGGTCAGAAAGTCTCTTTCCCTTCTGGGTAACTTAAGTTCTTATTAGCATTTCAGGCCTGCATTTCCCTGTTATAGGTTGAATTATGTCCTCCATAAGAAAGATACTCAGAGTCCCCACTCCTGTGCCTCAGAATGTGCTTTATTTACAAATAGGGCCCTCAGAGAGGTCAAGTTAAAATGAGGTCAATAAGCCTGGCTCAGTGGCCCGTGCCTGCAATCCCAGCTGCTGAGGCCTCTGAGGCAGGAGGATCGAATGTTCAAGGCCAGCCTGGGCAACTTAGACCTGACACAAAATAAAAAATAAAAAGGGTGGGGTCTGGCTCAGTGGTAGAGCAACCCCTGGTTCAGTTCCCAGTAACCCCCTCCACCAGAAAAGGTCAGTGACGGTTCTCCAGAGGGTTTGGGTACAGGCTTGCAGAGCTAGAGCGCCACGTGAGCCACCCCTAGAGCCTCCAGAGGAAGCGTGGCCTGCCCATACCTTGGTGGTGGACTTGTGGCCCCCAGAACTGGAGAGGAACTTGGTTGTCACCAGCTACCCGCCGTGGGGTACTTCCTTACCTATAGAGGCCTGTTGTGGGGGTGGACAGGACTCTGGCCTCAGCAGAGAAGCCAGGTTCTCATGCCAGTTCTGACTGACATGCAGCTCAGACATGCCATTTCTTTGAGGATATTTCCTTATTTTAAAAATGTATATGGGGGCTGGGGATGTGGCTCAAGCGGTAGTGTGCTCGCCTGGCATGTGCAGAGCGCTGGGTTCGATCCTCAGCACCACATAAAAATAAATTAAAGATGTTGTGTCCACAGAAAAGTAAAAAATAAATATTAAAAAATTCTCTCTCTCTCTCTTTAAAAAAAAAATGTGTATGGCTGGGTGTGGCTCCGTGGAAGAGCACTCGCCTTGTATGCTCTGGGCCCCAAGTTCCATCCTCAGCAGTGAAAAATCAACTCATGTGCATATCACGGGGCTTGGTAGCACACACCTGCAGTCAGCTACTTGAGGCAGGAGAATCATCTGAGCCCAGGAGTTTGAGAAGAGCCTGTGAGAACCATCTCCCTGTCCTCCCCAAATACAGATCAATATATAAATGTAGCATGTATATAATTGTGTGCATACATGTGTATATAAGTGTATCCACACAAACATACAGTGCAGATGCAGGCATGTTCATAGCTCAGACACAGAAGAGGGCCATGGATATACACAAATCATAGACACAGACACAGATTCAGACACTGGCACACTCACCTGGGGCCACGCAGCTGAAGAGCTTCCTCGTTTCTCTCTGGGAACTCTTGGAGGGTGGTGAGGGCACTGCCTGGACTCCAGCTCAGGATTGATCAGTGGGTGCTTGCCAGGCACTCGGGAGGCCCTGGGCCTTGGCACAGCTGGCCCGCAGTGCTGCTCCAACCTGCAGAGGAGACCCCTGCTGCAGCTCACCCCACGGGCCCCCTGGGGATGAACAGCCAGATGGTGGTGGCTTTCGGGACGTCCCCCTCCCTGGGGTTCTCTGCCCTCAGCGCTGGCCCATCTACAGAAGGCTGTCTTCAAGGCCTAACATTCAGCACTTGCTGACTGGGGACCGACTGGTCAGCCTTGGTGGTGAGTCCACGCCCTCTCTGGTTCCCCCCAGCCCGTGTGGCCCTGACCTGCGTGAATCAGCCTAGCCAACCCCCCTCTCCCAGGGCAGCCTCAATTCCAGTCGTCCACCTTCTATCGGTTTTCTGCATTTTGCCCATGATGATTCCAGTCTCTCACCAAAGTTTTTGTGGAGAAGCTAAATAAAAAGCCTGGACTTGGAATGGTAAGTGACAGTGCCGGTGGCCCCCGTTCCAGTCACTTGATTAACCTCTGAATCACTTGCATACAGGGTTTGGTCCACAGCAGAGCTTTCAAGTGGCTGGACATGGACTTACAAGGAATAGCTCAGCAGGAGGCAGAAAGGCACGGAGCTCTTACAGACCTCATCTGTTCTTCTTTTCAATTATTTTTAATTATGCATTTCAGTTAAAAACTTAATCACATCCCTATCAACCTCCTATGCACCCTTTTAGCATAAAGCACACAAAGACTGAGTCCAAGTCTTCTACAAAAATGGAGGGACTGGCTAGCGGCAGCCACACTCAAGGAGAGCTGACGGGGGTGGGCCGGGGTCTGGGCGCTTCACGGTTGACTACACTACCTGGAAGTCCCGGGAGGTGTGAGACAAAGAGGGCAAAGCTAGAACCGTCGCCACAGGCTCCACAGGCCAGTGACTGTCGGTTGGGGGGGCCTCTGGCCTTCTTACTAAGCCCATGGGGTCCAGGTCCACTTTGGCGGTCCCCGTCCAGTGAGCTCTGGAAGGAAAGGGGGCAGGGGAGACGCCGCATGCCAGCTTCGGTTATCTGCTTAGACACAAGGGCAACACCCTAGCAGAGCGTCCTAAAGCCACCATCCTCATTGGCTCAGGATTCAGCATCTTTCTGGCTGGCTGCTCTGCAGCCCCTGCTCCAGGGCCTGGCACCGCAGGTGGGCTTCACCCGCACATGGGTGCCTCCACTGGGGGGCTGGAACAGCCAGGTTATCTCACAGGACACCTGGACTCCCACCGCATAGCTGCTGGGTCCCGTGGGGAGGCACCCCAGTGTGCAAGCCTTTGCCACACCCCTCCTGCATCACACCTGATAAGGTCCCGCTTGCCAAAGCCAGCGTCTAGCCGGGGTAGGAAGGGGCACAGGCATGAACACTTAGAGGGGGAGCAGCAGGGCCCACCCATGTGCAGTGACCCACACAGTTAGACCTGGAGTGCACCTTAGATGAGTTGTAAGTCCAGGCTACAGCACGACTGACCGTGTCCCCCAAACCTCACGTACTGAAATCCTCATGGGGATGGCATCAGGAGGTAGGGGCTCTGGGAGTGCTGAGGTCTTGAGGGTGCAGCCTTGTGGTGGGATTAATGGTCTTATAAAGAGGCCTCGGGAGGGAGCTGCCCGCCCACCGCGAGAGAACGCAGCCAGAAGGCACTGCCTGTGCACCAGGAAGCAGACCTTCACAGACTCCAAGGCTGCTGCTCCTTGATCTAGGACTTCCTTTCGGGGACTGTCTGGTGCTTATAATCTACCCTCTGTGTCTTGGTACAGCAGCCTGGATTTCCAGGAGTCTTCACATGGAGAGCCAGGTCTCTCTGGGGCCCTGCCACCCCTTGACATGCAGCAGTGTGGTTCATACAGTTATCACCCTCTTCACAGGCAAAGCCCACCAATGCCCCTCGCATCTGGGGACACAGGCTGCTGCTGAGGGTCCCCTATTTCAGGAATCTTGAATAGAAGTAGGCCCCACTGTGCACTTAGGGGCCACCTCTGTGGGTCCTCAGAACCCCTCCTGCAGTCTGCTTTGGTGGTGACAGCTCGGGGGAAACAGAGCCCGCTGCCCCTTGCTGCAGGTGCTGTCTTTGTGGGTGGCTTCCTCAATTTCACCACCTCACCAGGGAAATGGAGACATTCTCAGGACAGATGGCATCAAGGCCCCAGGCCTCCTCCCCAGTCTTCCTCCAGCACGCAGGGCCATCACAGAAGAAGTGGCTGATGGTCCTGCTGCCACGAGATGAACTCTTGGGGGGAAATGTCTGTTCTCAGGTTTGGGATTTGGCTTAGAATAGGATGCACATAAAGTGAGGTATGAGTCTTAACACTTTTCAAATAGCACAAATGTCATTCTTTCTTTTTTTCTTTTCACTGGGGACTGAACCCAGAGGCACTTAACCACTGGGCCACATCCCCAGCCCTTTTTATATTTTTTGTTTAGAGATAGGGTCTTCCTGAGTTGCTTACAGCCTTGCTAAGTTGCTGAGGCTGGCTTTGAACTCCTCATCTTCCTGCCTCAGCCTCCTGAGCTGCTTGAATTACAGGCATGTGCCACTGCGCGGGGCTACAAATATCATTCCTGATGTTTCCCACGTGCATACAGTGTCACCCAGCACCTCGTACATGCCAAGCCCTTGCTGTTGTTGAAGGCGTTGGTGATTTTGTTTCAGGACGTTTCTTTGGTCTTTGTTTTATTTTTCATTGATCTTTAACAGGGTTGATGGGACTGTTCGTTCTTCTGAAAATGTCTGTAAGTTTTAGCAGATTGTTTAACAGTGCACCCAGAGTTTGACTTGAGCAGGCATGGCCAGACCCGGGGGAAGCACATCAAGCCACGCAGGACACAGGCAAGGCCCCGTCAGCCTGGGGGCAGGAGCCAGGAGAGCTTTATTGTGGTTTCCGAGGGAAGAAGTGGGCGAGGCAAACCAGCTGACCAGGTCTGGACTGGCGAGTTTCAGCAGCAGGCCCAGGAGGTGGGAGCTCCATCTCACAGCCGAAGAACCAGATTAGTCAGGGCGAGCCGGGCTCTGGGTAGGGCAGGGTGCACTTGCCATGTCTGGAGTTTGCCACCCCCTGGGAGGGTAGCCAGGCTCCTGATGCTGAAGCAGCCTAGGCACCAAGGAAGAGCACAGTCCTGCACAAAGAGCATAGCACTGAAGCCAGATTTAAAGTTAGGTAGTCAGTGTAGTTAGGTAAATCGGGTCTAATGCCGAGTGAAATCTAAAATGGAGGCCATGCTGGCAATGATTCCGGGAAACGCAGGACAACTCATGGAATGTTAATGAAGTCCCAAAAAGGCCCTAGGCCAAAGTCCACCTCAAAGAAATGTTAATGAACAGCCCCCAGCAAAAAGGTGCTGACTCAGAAGTCCTTCCTGACCAGATTACTTCTTTGGCCCACCTGTGTCCCACCCCTCGGTCCTTCCCACCTACATTCCATCACTGAAAGAACTATAAAAGGGGGAGACAACATCCCTTCCACGGATTCCACCTCTTGGGTCCCCTTCTTCTTCCGGGAGAAGTCTTTTCTGCTGTCCTTTAATAAACTTCTAATTTCTACTCTGACCTTGCCTCGGCGTGCTTCTTTGGTGTTATTCTTCAACATTGGGGAAGCAAGGACTCGTCACCGGTCAACAGCGGTAACAGCACTTCCAACCGAGAGTGGCTTCCCAGTGCAGAACTCTGTCACAAGGCCCCGGCTCTGCGTGGCCTGCGCAAAAGTGAAGGGAGCTGTTCCTATGAGACATGCACTATAAACTAACAATGATGAGCACGCCTAGGTGTCTTCTGTGAAACACTAACTACTGCAAATTCCGTATCTGTTTCTTTACTTGGTGTTATTTTAACACAGCACAAATTTCTGGGAAAAAAAAGAAAAGAAAAATAAACTGGGTGTGGACAAGAATCTTGCTCCTCTTTTCCTAGAAGTCAGCAGCTGATTGATTTCCAGGGTTGACACTCATCGGTGGAAAAGATGGTTAAATAAAACGAGAGGAGGCCAGCTGCTGCTTTCTACGAGGCTCCTGCACTGGCCCCAGCAGTGAGCAGTCACTCGGGCTGAAGTCCCAGTCCCTCACCGTAAACTGGCTGTCATCCGGTGTTCAGAGAAATGGCGACAAAGAGAGATCACAGCCAGTTTCCACACAGGCCTGTCAGATCAGAGTGTGATGGGGGAGCTGGACAGTGAAGCCCCCTCTGCTTCCCCCTCACCAGGGGAGGCCACCCGGAGCCCCACGCAGCTCCTGCCCTTTTCCCTTTTCTTTCTGCTGGGCCTCGGCTTGCCAGGCCGGCACCCGGCCTCTGAGCCGCGCCCCGGCCCCACGTGGGTGTTTTCCATTGCTGTCTCCCCTCCCTAACGACAAGGAAAGAACTTTGAAATCATCAACCTCCCTGCGTCTCTCCTTCTGCTCCCTTCCGCTCTTCCCTGTCCACCAGGGGAACTTCCAGTCCCGCTCACTGGAACACTCCTTCTGTTTTATGGGATGAAGAGTTGCCCACGTCTAGAATAGCAAACAAAGCCGTGACTGTGTCCTCTGACAGCATAAAAGGCATGAAGCCCAGAGGCCTCCTCTGTGCTGGGATGAAGCCATCCCACTGCACTCTCCTGGGGACCTGAAGCTCTCCGTGGAACGTGGCCTTGGGCTCTCTTCCGTCTGACTCACACCCCCGGGAGGGCTGCGTGCCCACGGCAGGGCCCTCTGCACACTGTGCACCCCGTCCATCTCTTCACCTGGACCCAGTCACACAGTAACAGGCCTAACAACAGGCTGGAGGCTGGAGCCAGAGGTGGCCCAGCGTGTGGGACGCATCGTGACCCCATTCCTTCTTGGGAGGACTGCTTCCTCTCTTCATGTCAAGTGACTCAAGCCTCATGGCTCATGAACTCTGTGCTTGCCGGGTCATTATTTAGGTCACAGTTTGCTCCACCTCTCCTGCCTGGGTCCCCGTGAGAAGACAGGCCATGTGATGGCAGGGAGGACATCTGGAGCCTCGCTCTTCATGAGATCTGGGCAGTTGTGTTTCCTGTTTCCTGTTGGTGGTTCCTGTGCAGCTGTTCCCAAGTTTCACATCCTTGTCTACAAATTTCTTTTTCATTTCATTTCAAGTGTAATTGTCTACAAATATTCTCCAGGAGGAAAATCTGGAAAGAAAACTCTTAGGTAAGTTTTCATTGTTGGTCAATTAACAAATATACTGATTCAGTGTGTTATTTGCTGGATTTGTCCACTTTCTAGCTCTTCCCCTGACATTCTGAGCACTAGATTTCTTTTATATGCCTGTATATTCCATTCACATCTCATTATCCTTTGTGTTGATGGGGAAGGCAAGCTGTCTTTGAGCCTATAGATCTGTTCCTAAACTAGTCACTGTGTTGGAAAATATGTCAAAGTGGTTATCTATATCTAAGGAAAGAAGATAAGCATTTCTTAAAGTTGCCCTAAGTAAGATCTCAGGAGGCTGAGGCAAGAGGATCACTTGAGCCCAGGAGTTTGAGGCTAGCCTGGGCAATATAGGAAGACCCCACTTTGGGGGGAAAAAAAGAACTTTGTTTATAGTTGGGGATGTGGCTCTGCAGAGGAGTACTTGTGGGAGGTACTGGGTTTTATCCCAAAACAGAGGCAACAAGAAAAAGTTTTCGTAAAACCCTCTAGGTCACCCGAGTCCCACTTGGGATCATGCAAAGGGTTGTAATTGTCAGGATTTCTCAGATGATATTTACTCCACCCAGCACACAGTGCCCTGTCCTGGGGTTCCCACCTGGAGCACTGTGCCCACTCCTAGAGTTCCTGCCTCGAACCGGGGTCCCACCCAGAACATTTGTGTCCCTCTCTGAGGGGAGTGGAGTGACTTGGAGGCATTTCCTCTTCCCAGAGGAGGGCTTCCCAACCTGGGCACTGCTGACATTCTGGGATGGAGCTTTCCTGCCATGAGCTGATCTGATGCTGTCTCCCCTCTGGAGAAAAGGACCACTTCCCCAGCTCTCCCCCCAATTGTGAAAGCCAAAACCATCTCCAGGCAAGGACAAACCCCAGGCACTGACTGGAGGAGGTGGCCATATAGCACAGCCTGACTTTGTGGCCCTGGGTCAGCACAGGCTTCTCAGGGCATTTTGTAGAGCGGGCTGTTATGGCCGAGTCTGGCCCACCAAGTGGAAGGGTTATCATGTGCCACCTTTAGCTTCAGGGACATCATGTTCCACAGCAACAGCCATGCCCACAG